AAGGTACTTGCAAATGCATCTCTTTCCCACAGTACAGATAAATTGCACTACTCATGTTTTGTCTCAATCGCCATGCAATACGATGGGGATAGAACTATAGAAATTTATAGCACAGAAGAAGGCTGTTCAGTCCATCGTATCTATGCTGGATTTTTGAAGAAGCAATCCATTCAGTCCCCTTTACTACCTTTTTCACATAACCCTGCAAATTACTCCATTTTAGAAAGCTATCTGGTTCCTTTTGAGAGCTAAAATGGATTCTGCCTCGATCAACGCACCCAGCAGATAGTAACAATTCACTATGTAATAAAAATCCTCCTCATCTCCCCTTTGCTCCCCTCCTAATTACCTCAATTGAGCCCTTTATTTACTGATTCACTAAGATTGTTTTGTCAGCTATCAGTTGACAAGCTTATTCACCTGCTTTAACTCACATTTTCACAAACATTTTTGCCCACTTTTCAGGCCAGTTCGTTCCACGCTTTCTGAAAACGTTTCTAAGCTAGAATGCAATAAGAAGACTCATTGGTGTAACAATTTTGACAACAGTTCATTAACTGTGTATAATGGTCAGATCCCAGCCTAGTTCAGTTAGCAGCACTCTCACCTCTGAGTCAGAAAGTTGTGAACGCAAATTCGCTGCTGCATTCCTCACAAGAACACAGTCACTACACTTTACAGTAAACCTTGTGAAGTGCTTTGAGATGTCCTCATGACTTGAAAGGTCTATATCAAGTGTAAGAATTGTTATTAATATTATTATAGGACAGGGCATAAAGTGATTTGCCAAATCCCGCTAGAAGCACATTCACTTTTCAGTCACGGCAAAAGCATAATTTGAATAATTACTATTTGCATATTTATAACCTTACTCTGTACATGATTAGTCTCATTTCTCTGTCCAGACAACTTCTGAGTATATACGATGTAGAACATCAGCTTTCCGTGTGGTCCAAAGCCACATTGTTTGGCTGCTTGCTCAAAGACGTCAAGAACTGGCTAAAGCCATATTTGCAATTCGCAACCGACATTTCTTCCCAAGTTGCTGTGTTTTTAGGCAGCTGCACAGATGTAAGGAAACACATCCTAAATTGTTGCATTATTAGATGGGTTAATAATAATCCTTGCATTTGATATAGCGCTTTTCACATCTTCTAGACGTCTCAAAGCGCTTCACAGAATATACTGTAAAGTGAATTAACTGTATATTTTGTAGGCGAAACGCGGCAGCCAATTGCACACAGCAGTGTCCCACAAACAGTCGTGGGTTGAAGTGACCAATTTTATTATTGTTTTTTTCTTGAGGGATTATTATCAGGCGTGTGGAGTAAGGAAACTGGCCCAAGGTTTTGCACTGCCAGGAATCGAACCCAGGTCTCTCGCTTGTGAGGCGAGTGCTCTAACCACTGAGCTACAGGACTCCACAAAACTGTATTTCATACATTCATGCAGCTGAGCCTAAAAGAAGTAGCCATTCAGGCAAGTGCATAAAATGAACGCAAATTGGCTGCTGTGCTCGCCTACACAATACAATACAGCTTAGAGTAAAAATCCTGTGAAGCGCTTTGAAACATTCTTCCAATTTGAAGGATGCGATGTCAAATGCAAGGATTGTTATTTATGTCTTTAGAATTTTGACCCCTATAGAATTTGATGTATTTGTTATGCCCCCAATTTTCTTCTCCAGTTTTCCTCCTACTCCTCCTCCACTCCTGAAGCTAGTTGATTTATTTTGTCTTCCACTAGGAGATGGTTGCACAGACACCAGTTGCACTCCTGATCTTGTGATAATAATAATCATAATCCTTGCATTTGATATAGCGCCTTATCACTGACTGAGACGTCGCAAAGCGCTTCACAGAATATATTGTAAAATTGATTCACTGTGTATTTTGTGTGTGAAACTCAGCAGCCAATTGCACACAGCAATGTCCACAAACAGTCATGGATTGAATGACCCATTTTTGAATTTATTTTTTGGGAGGGATTATTAGTGATCTACTGTGATCTATTGTGTGAGCTTTTATGGTGAACATCTACAGGCTATTGAACCACGAGAGGCATCACAACCGAGCCTGATCCTGCTTTTGTCCAATAACTGTTCACACGAACCTTCGATAGAGATCCAGACCAACAACCCTACATGATTTTGCCCTCCATCAAGTATTTGCGCTGGACAGTTCATTTACCACCAGGTCACTGAAGTAGATACTTATAAGCTTCAAAAGGATTGGAGTGTGAAAATATTCATCAGCTCACAATATAGAGGTTACAGCATGTCTTTCAGTGAATTGCAAGCCATCAATCCAATTTTGAGGTTAACATGGCATCATAAATTGAAACTTCCCTGTGAATCGTTGGCAGATATCCAGTGTTAGATGCAATGTTGTGTAATGTGGTTCTGTATAGACTAGAGAGATGAAAAAGTAAATGAAAAGTAAAGCAAAATAAAGAACTCGGATGAGTACATTAGCGGGTTCTGCAAATAGCTTTTTTTCAGAAAGTATAAACAAAGCTGCTCAGTTTTCGTTACATTGTGAGAGACTGAGTCAATGGAGGGGCCACTCGCCCCCCTGTTCCAGTAATCACAGAGTGTGGGCAACAATGGTTCAAACACAGGAACACAGGGAAAGCTGCAAACAAAGGTGGCTTTCAATCTGGCTGCAATACATCATCATCTTGCTGTGAATCACTCTCTTTCACGATCCAGAGAGCAGAAGATGGTATCACTGAACCTGTTTACAGGAGCTGTGGGTATTTCCATCTCTGTGAAGGGCAGTCAGTGGTTCAGGCAGTCTCGAAATAGACAACAAGTGCCAGTATTTGAGATGGATGCAGCATATGTAGCTGGAAGTGCGTGAGTAGAATTTGCAGGCTCTGTGGTTCACAATATACTTGAAAATAGCATTTGTTTCATTGAACATTCTTCCAGCTCAGCATATCAACAACTATAGACTCAATCCAATGCAAATTAATCATCACAAACACTGCATTCTGCAGGTACGAATCAGCCCTTAAAGCACATGCAGCATTATTGGTGTATTTATATATTCGGGAGGAAAAAAAGCCTGAAAAGACAATTGACAAAACTGTGCAATCATCAGGGAAATATAAGACATTCCTACATATTAATACTCAAGTAATTGTCTAAAAATAAATTATTCAAACTTTTTATTGCGTCATAGTCTACCTGAGGGAATACGAATGCGGTGTTCTTTGCTGTGTCATTATTTTCCTGAACTATTTTCTCAGGCACTGCGTTTAGCCATCAGGGCACAGATAACAAAGAATTATAAATGAAGTAGAGGGAATATACTTAATATTATGGTCCATTGTGTTGAATCTCAATCCCTACACTAAAATAATTTTGCCTCACAGCACTGCTAACACACAAACTGTAAATTCCCCAAAATCATATCAAAGGTTAATACAGCAATGAAACGCCCATTAGAAACACAGAAACAGGAGTAGGTAATTTAACCCCTTGAGCCTGTTCCGCCATTCTATAAGATCATGGCTGATCTGTACTTCAAATCCAATTACCCACCCTTGCCCCTTTTTGCAAGTGTCAGATGCCTAGCTGACCAAAAAAAAGTACATACTCATCTATTTCTTTTTAAATAAAATTATATGTAATAGGTAATTTTATTGAATGATTGGGTCGGTTAAGACCACATTTTCTGCCAACTATCTTGTTAACAGCTAAAAAATGCTCACAGAATCATTTCAACAACCACAAATGGTGGTGTTACATATTCAGTCAGTGATGATTGATCCAGTAGACCTTGCACTTGGCATTTTTGGAAGGATAAATGCAATGAACATCTCTGGGAGAAGATATCACCATAGGAGCAGAAAGCAGGGTGCGTTCCTCCAGGGAGAGAGAGTGTGTATTCCATTCCTGACACAAGGAAAATTTCAATGTGTAGGTAGCATATATATGAAGATTTCTGTCTGGTTTGGATACTCTAAACATGATGATGGGTTTCCACACATGATGATGGGTTTCCACACATGTCAGACATTCGGCTAACCCCCCAAAAATTAGGAGTAGCAATCATTGGGTGCCCATCCAATAGTCTAAGTAACTTGCAGTCTTGCTAAAGTTCTAGAACATGTTGTTTCCAATCAACGTCACTCACACCTCTTCCTCCACTTCCTAATCAAATACCTCCCGTCCGGGAGTTCTGCTCATAGCACAGAGACAGCGCTCATGAAAATCACAAATTAAGTCCTCTCTCTCTGTGATCAAGGCTCCCACTGCCTCCTCGTCCTCCTGGACCTCTCCTCTGCATTCGAATCAGTCGCTCATACCATCTTCCTCCACCGCCTCGCCGCCTTCATCCACCTTAGTGAGCCTGCACTTGCATGGTTCGAGTACTACTTTACAAACCGCTAACAATACATCTTGGCAAATGGGCTTCTCCTCCCACCCCCGCTCGGTCACTTGAGGGGTAACCCCCTTCGTCCCATTCTTTTCATTATTTACTTGCTCCTTCTCTGTGATATCATCCTCAGACACAGGGTAAACTTCCACATGTATGCGCATGGTACCCAAATTCACTTCTCCAGTTTTGACTCTAGGTTTGCTGGTGTTTGTCAGCTTGCTTGTCAAGGCCTGGATGAGTGCAAACTTTCTGCAGCTGAATGTTGACAAGATGGAAGCCATACTCCTTGGCTCTTGTCAACGACTTCTCTTGTGTGGCTCTGACCTCCCCTCAACTTCCCCGACCTTTCCCTAAGACTTACCGAACCTGTCCGTAGCCTAGCTGCCAGTAATCCTTCCTTCCCCACAACCAGTCCTTGACCAGGACCGGTCTCCTGTACCTCCATCATATTGCCCATCTCTGACCATATCTCACACCCAACGCAGCCAAACACCCTTATTCATCCTTTTGCCACCTCCTGCCTCAATTATTCCAATGCTTCCTCTCCGATCTCCCCAGCTCCACTATTCACAATATCCAATTAATTCAAAATTCTGGCACTCGTATACTTACCAGTACCAAACTCCATACCCCATCAAACCGGTCCTGGCCAGGCTTCACTAGTTCCCTATCACAGAACAGATTAATTTCAAGAACCTCACTCTTGTCTACAAATTCCTTTGTTCCTTGGCACCTTTTTACCTCTCTGATTTGCTTATTCCCCACTCCACTGCCTCACCACTTCTGCTCGGCTGGTTCCAACCTCCTGCTTGTCCCTCGTCCCCTCCACTCTACCATCGGCGGCCGTGCTTTCAGCCACTACACGCCACAACTTTGGAACTCTCCCCTTCAATCCCTCAGCCTTGCCAGCTCTTTTGCATTTTCAGATAATGCCTAAAGACCCTCTTCTTCGACTGTGCTTATGGTCACCTCCTCCCTCCCCCAGCTTGGAGTCAGGTTCTGCCGCTGAAGGGCGCTTTATAAATTATGGCTCTGAACCAGGAGACTCAAAGTCCAAGTACAGACCAGCTTATCACTCAGATTTGGTTGGACAAAATTAACTCAATCCACAACTGTTTGTGGGTACTGTGTGCAATTGGCTGTCACGTTTCACCAACAAAATATACAGTCAATTCACTTTACAGTATTTTCTGTGAAAGATTTGAGACATCTTAATGACATGATAAGGTGCTACATCAAATGCAAGGAATATTATAAACACCATTCTGAGGCAGAGAAAGTTGTCAGAACATAAACACATCTCTTGTTGACTGTTCACAAACTGATTTTGATTGGATCTGGGCTGTAAAGAAGTCTGTGCCTGAAACCATGCCAATTAAACGGAGTAATGGCACTCACTTGGAACACTATAATGTACAAAATATATTAAAGGCTAGTCAATTGTAAACCACTGTAAAGGAAGCCTGGAGACATGAATGTGATGCATTTACACAAGAACTATGTAGAATACATGTGGAAGAAATTCTGTAGTTAATTACTTCCAATGGATTGCACTCTGTATATAAGTATGGAATAATAATAATAAGTATGGAATAAATATTTATACTTGACTTTTATTTTGATGAGGCGTCTTGTAACACAGAGAGCATTTCAACATTCCTCACTGACCTCCGGGCAAGTAGAATGAGAAGCATGTAGGGTCCATGTGAAATATGTTCAGATTTTTGTAACAGTTACCGTGTTACTGAATTACAGAAGTGAAAGTCTAGGAGGTGAAATTCCAGCTGCTGTTCATTTTAGCAGCATTGCCTCTGGGTGTCAACTAATGCATAATTTGTGATAAAAAGGACCTGAATTAACCAGTGCTTTTCCACCCAGTGATTTTTAGCTGCCACTAAATTTAACACAAATTAATTTACCATTGAAATTACACTGACCCTTAAAATCCTTGCGCTTTTATAGCACTTTATCACGCTAAAACGACTCAATGTTACCTGTGGGGAAATAATGTAATTTCAGTTATTATTACTTGCGCAATTACTGTATGGTGTAAAGACGCAGAAACTGTAGTAGGATTTCATGTTCAATATAAGGTGACATATTTACATAAATGTGTATCTACTATCAGTGAGCTAATGTTTTTGTTTCCTTAATTTATTACCTAATTGTGCTCTTGATGTTCTGTCAGCTTGCTAACATTATCAGAGTGTAACTTGCTGGGGATAATATCTATGTATCTAATAGCTTTCGGGCTCAGTAGCAGGAGGGGGGGAATGGAGATGTCACTCATCTCATCTACCTTTGACTGTCCATAGGTCAGGAACCATGTGGAATGGTCATATACCCTTGATAAAAATAACATAACATCATTTTTAAAGCCAAATTTGGCATTAAAATGATTTGTTATGTTATAATCAGGGTGTAAGTAGAAGATGTATGGAACTGCATCGGTCCCTAATTTCGAACAGTAAACCATGAGTAATGGGATTTACAAGGAGAGAGGCTAAATCAATAGAGAGGAAATTTGCTTCTCTAAACTAACCAGACCAGTGATTTGTACAAGGCCATTTTCAGTTCCTGTGACCTATGCTCTATCCATCTAGCTATCCACCGTAAAATCTATTTTTCTCTCTTCACCAAATACTGAGTTGATGGTTTCAATTAGTTGCCTATCAGAGTGATTAAATCATTCTACCGATTTCGGTCTTTTAAACATCTACCATTTAGCTTACATTTCCACTGCTTATTACTCCAATAAGTCTCATAACTTTACATTTATTCACATTAAATATCTGTTAATTTTCAGGCCAACTCCCTAATCTAGCGAGATCCCTCTTGTCTATCACAATGTATTGCAATGAGAATTATTCCACATGCTATTTCTTACTGTACAATATATTTCATGTTTATAGTTAGTGCATTGTACATTCTTGTGCTTTCCCAACTGTGCTTGTATGATATTATGTCTCTAAAAAAACCTGCTTTGAAGTATCAGGTTTCTAACGCCACTGTTTATAGTGATCTGAAGCTCTGAAAATAACTGTACAGAGTATAGTGGTTACCACTGTTTCATTGTTTTGACAATTTCCCAGTGATGAAATTGAATTAGTTGTATAACTATTCTCTTATTGCAAAAACAGAAACATCCTTCAAGATAATAATAATAATCTTTACATTTGATATAGCGCCTTATCACATCTTCGAGACATTTTAAAGCGCTTCATAGAATATGCTGTAAATTGAATTGACTATATTTTGTGAGTGAAACGCAGCAGCCAATTGGGCACAGAAGTTTCCCAATCATTGGTTGAGTGACCGAATTATTATTATTATTTTTTTTGAAGGGAGTATTACCCCTGGAAAAGTAATCCACCAATCGACTAACAATTAGGTTCCTACTTACTGCTAAGTAAACAGAAGCATGTGGAGTAAGGAAACTTGACGTTTTGCCTTGCCTGGGAATCAAACCCAGGTCCTCTCACTTGCGAAGTGAGTATTGTAATCATTAAGCCACAGGACTCCACAATTTACACATGTCCTATTATTTTATTAATTGGTTTAACAAAAACTATTTTCAGATATTTAAATCAATACTTTCGCTACTTTGTGACTGTGTGAGGAGATAAAAGATGATTTGGGCAGATAATATCCCACTGGAGTTAAGCCAATAAACATGAGTGCTTACATTCTACATATGCCTCACTCCCTAATTAAAGCAGCTATGGGTGTCACTTACCGAGCACTGTTCAAGGTTATCTCTCAAGAACATTCAGCAAATTAAACCCTTAATTTATATTGCAAATCGACCAAGTCTTAAAAGATCAATATGGACAAGTGTGTAGGTGTAGTCAATAGCATTCAGGACATTGGAAAAGCCAACAACAGTGCTGAAAATCGGGAAGGGGAAAGATATGGAAATGTAGCATTTGATATTATCATTGATGATGTTATATTATCAGATGCTGCATCACCCATTGTGAGTAAATAATATTCAGAGCTGGTGCAGGCCAGGGTTAGAAAGAAATGCTGTGAGCAACTAAAGCTTGAGAGTTGTGATAACCTGCAAGGCTTAGTTTGATGGAATATAACACTCCAAACACTCTCATCACCATCCAAAGGTTATAAAGAATTTATGCATTAAATCTGAATCACCACCACATCAGTTTGGTTAGACTTGTCTACAAAACCAATGTAAGTTGTGGAGTTAAAGGTGGTATGAGTTATCCTTTCCTCAGAAAAGTGCACAATTTATGCACCTTTTCAATGATGATTAAGAAGAAAAAACATTCTTAAGCTAAGAATCTTTACAATTCCAAAGTCCAAGGCTGGTGAGGGGACCAATTAGCCTCCAATTTAATTTTTATACTCTTCCAACCTTTTATGTTGACTTTCCCTTCTTTCCATCCCCTCTTCTCCTCTCCCCCACCCCACACAATCTTCCTTTAGTGTTTTCTGCTTTTTAATCTGTTTCAGAAATCTTTGTGGATGGAGAAGACTTGATCTGAAGGACAAAGGTAGTACAGTGCTGCTTTTCTGAATGTTCTTCTCTATCCACACTTATGCAATCCTTCCCAGTTGTAATAGCTTTGAGGGCGCAGTTGCTGTTTCAGATTTACTTTGAAGATGACCCATGTCTTGGGGAAGACAAGTTTGCAGGGCTATGGGGAGAGAGCAAGAGAGTGGGATTGATTTGGATGGCTCTTTTCAAAGAGCCGGCTCAGACACGATGGGCTGAATGGCCTCTTTCTGTGTTGTATAATTCTATGATTCTATAATAATAATAATAATAATAATAATCCTTGCATTTGATATAGCGCTTTTCACGTCGGGAGGACGTCCCAAAGCGCTTCACAGAACACACTGTAAAGTGAATTGACTGTATATTTGTGGGCAAACGCGGCAGCCAATTGCGCACAGCAATGTCCCACAAACAGTCGTAGATTGAAAATGACCAATTTATTATTATTTTTGTTTGTTTTTTTTTTGGAGGGATTATTATTAGGCGTGTGGAGTAAGGAAACTTGCCCAAGGTTTCGCCCTGTCTGGAATTGAACTCAGGTCTCTCGCTTGCAAAGCGAGTGCTCTAACCACTGAGCTACAGGACTCCACAAAGCAAAAAGGATAAGCAAAAGGATGGAGCTATCCTGTGTTTTTCATTGTTGGTAATCTGATAGCTAAAGCATCTGTACTGACAAAGACTCTGAAAGACAAGAGCTGAACAGACTGTCAATAAATAGAACCAGAATCACCTATTGTTTCAAGCACTGTCTTACATTTTCAATTATTGTTGTGATATTGAGAAGCACTTAATTTAGGGAGTAAATTTTCTCCTCATATCACTGGACACTTAATTATCTTTCCAAGCAATTAATTTTTTCAATATAAACCTGTCAAGAACACCTGCTGAAAACCTTGCTGCCGTAAAGAGCCATTCACAACAATGACATGAGTGTAATGCAGAATTCTGGCTCTTGTACATAAGGCTGTAGCATTCTCAAATGGATGAGCTGATGTGCTGAGAGAGAGGTTGCACTAAGACTGGTTTATTCTGCAAGCCCCCAGGTTAAACTTTTGTTGAAAAATCACAATATGCATGCAGAAGAAGAAGAGTCCATTGTGGGTTTCAAGAGGTAAGTAATAATAATAATAATCCTTGCATTTGATATAGCGCCTTACCACTTCTTTGAGATGTCTCAAAGCGCTTCACAGAATATACTGTAAGTGAATTGACTGTATATTTTGAAGGGAATACGGGACAGCCAAATGCGCACAGCAGTGTCCCACAAACTGTCGTGGATTGAGTGACCAATATATTATGTTTTATAACGAAATTAT